AGAGAAAGTTGACCCATTCTCCAGATCGGGTTGCTACAAAATAATGTGTTCATGTGGTCGTTTTTATGTTAGGGGAGAGACTTGTCGTCACATTTGACAAAGTGTGGCTGAGCACAAAAGCGCCTGCAGATGTTGGGTTCCAAAATCGGGGTTGGCTGAGCACAAACAGAAAGTGAACAGTTCTCGTTTTGCTGACTATGGCATGTCTACGGCCAAACGTGTTTGCCCTAATCTCGTTTTCCTCATCATCAAAGAATGTAAACTTTTAATATTTTCGTAAATTCGTCAAAATAACCAATTCGTTAGATGCTTTCAGAAGAACTTGCTTAGTCATTCTTTTAGCAATATTCGGATTATACCGAATTAGGGAATAAGTGTACGTGATGAAGATAATTTCAAACAGCGAATAAGGTTAAATCGAAGGTATCAAGGCCCAGTTGGTGTGTCGTCTTGGAGACAAAGTCGAGGCTAAAGCTCCGAGCAATTTCATGTTCAAGCCTGTGCTTGATGGACCACATGTCTGGCCAAGCAGGCCTACCACAAGCAGCCAACAAGCTCGAGTCCCCGCCGCGTCAATCCTGTTTTAAAACCCAACACCAAGTCGACTAGCTGCTATGCCTCAGTGGCTGGTGGGCCAACCCACAAATTTGTGGTTCAGCCTTGAACCTGATTAAAGCAATCGGTAGCACAACATTTGTGGCTTGGCAGACAAGTCATGCACTCGGCCATTGGGACATAAAAGAGGACAGACGCGGCCGAGACTGGAGCTAGTTGTCTGCTTGTGGTAGGCCTGCTTTGCCACAGACGTGGTCCATCAAGCAAAGGCCTCAAGTGAGTCTCCCAGAGGCAGAGTGTGCGAAATAACGCCTCGTGGAGCACAGACGGTGGGGGGGGAGAGGTGGAGGAGTCGAGTGAAGTACGTGAACCGGGGAGATGGCAGCGGATCCTACGGAGCAAGAGGGAGACGTGGAGTGTGGAGAGTCGACATGAAAGTAGCTCAAAATGGCACAGCCTACCACGTTTAAACACATGATCTGTATTCACCCTATTTCGTTTATGAGTAGAGCCGCTGTTTCCATTCCATTTCACACAGTCTTGCTTTACCAAAAGTCGCTCTCATCCCGGCTCGAGTGGGCTGCAGTCTCGACCTCGCCTCGTCTCGTCTGGGTCTTATCGACACCTCCAGCGGGAGTCGAACCGTGACAGTGACTTGGTGTTAGAGATAGAAAGAGGATAGAAACAGTGCAAGCTGGAGCTGGTCGGTTAACAATAGTCGTGATTCCAGTATCACGTTTATCATCAAACACGACCATTTTTAGCCAAATAGCTTTAGTCTCCATCGCGTCTTTCCTATTTCTATGAAAGTAGGGTTTCGAGACTACCAGTAAATCAGTGTAATGAGATGTATTCACCCTATTTCATATAAG